ATGTACTTCGAATATAAATTGTCACATAAAGAAACTGATCGTTTGTTACAGTCAAAATGGCATAATTCGTTCAGACTTTAGATGCATTAATTCTAGTGAAAGCAAATCTCTCTTCTCGTCGAATCAATTGATCAATTGATATGAGCAATCAGTTTTTAAACTTCAGTAGAATCGATGACAATCGCATTAAAACTTCTAATAGAAACAAATGAATGTATATGTGGTGTGGGTGTGAATTTAGATCAGAAGAAAATTAACACATACACCCACACCCACACCCAACTTGAACAGTGTTGACAAATTGGCGATTTATTTGGAGTGATGGAAAGCAATATATTGAATAGGATAATGATCTGGCTCAGCACATTCAAATGTTTGTATAACGAAAGTCAAAATATAAAGATATTGAGTGTATGAGTGTAGACTTGTGGCGCCTTATTTTTTTAGCTGTTGTTGTTATTGGATAGAGAAAAATATGTATAGCATCATGTATTTTTTTTAAATCTACGAAATCTCTCATGTCTGAAAGAAAATAAGCATAGATACAATATCTAGTCATAGAATTGTAAAGACCTCATCTCAATTTTTTGTTTACAAAGATTGTTGTATTCGCTGAACTTTACGTATTGATGAAAAGAGAACGTTGTTTTGCTTTTAAAATCCAGTTTGAAAATGAAGATTTAAATTTGATTAATCGAAATAGACCGTAATATCCTACACAGCATTTAGTTAGTGCAAAAAAAGTGGTGTTTAATAACAGTTTTTCTCCGACGTCATTCGATTATTACAGCAGAAAATAAGCTATTGTTTTTTTTGACAAGATGAGTCAGTTTATTTTACACAATTATACACAGCATTCAATAACAAAAAAAAATAACGATAATATTTGTACAAAAAGCTGTTTAATTACAAGATTGTTAATAACTAAACACTATTGTTCTTAGATTTACTTATTAGTTAAAACCACATTGTGAGTCCACAACCATCATCTTCAATTGAATAATAAATTTATTTATCAAGAAACAATAAAAAAATATAATGACATAGTTGTTTAACAAATTTTCTATGTTCATTAAACGCAGAAACGATTTCATCACCATTTGATAAGTAGAATTTGCGCCAAAAGCAAAAGCTAAAATCACGAAATAAAGGTGCTTTCGCTGCAATCATTTGACAACTTTTATCATCCACAGCTTCTGGTATGTCGTACAAAAAACCACGAAATGAGCTCAGTTATGATAAATTCGAAAATGAATTCAACAGAATACGAATGAAACGAATAGTTGTTGGCAATGAAGAATAATTGTTTAGATAATTGATACTATTCACAAGAGTTATATTTCGAAGGGTAGATAAATATATATGAATAGGTCTGTTATAAAAGGATAGATGCAATGTTTCAATACAATTCGGTAATACAACATGAGGTAAAGCATATTGTAGATAATGACAAAATTTGACCGGATGCATCAAGAGTATGAAGAGACGATTGATCAATTGTTAGCATTTTTTCAGGTTTTTCAAACACTTGTATTTTAGTGATCCATCTGTGTGAAACATATTTATGAAAGAACTCATCAAATGTCCATGGAAGAGTATACTACATATGATGATAATATTGTCGACCAGAACTCTATAAATATAAAGAATGTATTAACATATTATTAAATCAAAGTTAGATTATTAAGTAAAGAATAAGGATTTTTGTTTTTCGTTTGTCTCTTATATTGAAATCAAATACACAAAAATATAATTGAACAATAACTTACAATAGGATCGTTATCAGTGAGCCATTTTGATCTGTTAGACCAATGATTAACAACAAATGTCGTACCAATTATTTCTCGTGGATGAAATCGATTACCACATGGTATATATTGAGTTATCCATTTATATTGAAAACAATTGATAGGATTAAAAACGAAATGAACATCGACATGACGATGATCAATAAAAAGTGATGATGAACTAATATGATTTAAATCATTAATATTAATAAAAAGAGACACATTAGTACGTTGAAGAATAGGCATAACATAATAATGCATGCCCAAGTCGAGAGATCGAAGTGCAGGTAAATAAAAAAGAAAAATATTATCTATTAACATAACCATGTCACCTAAAGGATATTCAAATTTGGTCAAGTAACCATCCTAAAAAGAAAGTGAATAGACAGTGTTGAACTAAGAATTAAGGCTAGCATGAACTATATTGATTGGAAAATTCAAAATCGAATCTCTTGATCATGACGAATAATCTCTCTAATAAATCTTAACAACATATCTTTGAAAATCTACATATTCATACAAAACTATCTTCAAACAATCTTTTAGAATCTAATGAAAATCATGAGATTCATAAATAAATTTTTATTATATTCTACATCACTGTTGAAAAATAATTCTCTTACTCAATATTTTGTTTTGAAAAAAATTTTCAATAAGACTCTCTTGAAAAATACAAGTATTCACAATAGTTATTTAAATAAAATGTTTTTGAGATATGTTTAGAACGATCAGAATTAGTTTCAGACTCATAAAGAAAATTATTAAAAACTTCAAGTAGATGATGATAAACTTTCTATAGTTAATAGATGAAAAAATTTAATGATATGATTTGACATTCTTTTATCATGAAGATTTGATTAATTTTAAATTATTCGAACTTATTTCAGAATGTGGTGTGCATCTTTGTTAATTGATTTGTTCGATTTTTTTTGTATTGTCTACTTTATTGTACTTGACAATCACTGCCCTAGTGAAGGTACTCATAGGCGAGTACTCAAAAAGTACTCACGCTAGAAAATGTCACGAGTACTCACGGGTTTTGAGTACTCATCAGTCGTACTCGTGCTAGAATCTGAGTATTTGAATACGACGATCGAGTACTCGTGGTGTAATATTCAGTGTTTTATGAGTACTCTTATCTAGTTTCTGTGT